TAGTTTTAAATACATGATTATTCGTCTGGAAACTATCTAAATTGAACATTTGATAAAAAGTTCAGACTAATGGGGAGGCGAGAACGAAAATCGTTGAGCGTACATGTCCAGTGGGTGTAGGTGAAAGCTACAGTGATAACATGGACAACCGAGCACGATTTCTCTGTTATTAAAAAGAAACCAAGGATATCGAGCATGAAAATACGCACGCTTTTAAGACGGCTGGGCAGTATAAAAAAAAGCACAGTGTTTATAATTCTTGTAATATTGTCATTCGTTATATTATCGTACAGTCAGACAAGATTTATAATTGTTAGTGGGCATATTTTAAATAAAGCAGCCGCCGACTACGAACTATGAACGGAAGACCATAATAAAAAGTGAATCGCCACTTGGGCCAGTTAAGATTTATATAACGGACATTTCGAAACTTGGATACAACGAAGTGAAAAGCCGTCAATAGGACACCATCATGTCAAATCATGGATAGTTACTTCAGAATAATTTCTTTCAGAATCAACGTGCATAAACGGGCATGTTTCGGATATACGATCGGACAATACGATTTGCCGTTGTGACATAAGTACCAAAATTGTACGGATCGTTGAACACGCCGAATTAGAAAATTTACTACGGTATTCACGCTAACGTTTGTATCGTGTTAAATTTGCTATTTGTGCTATCAAGTTGCACTTGTTAATGTTTTTGTGAATTCTTTTCTCTGATTGCCAACAATTAATGGATGGTTTTTAATTCTAAAGAAAAGTAAAACCCAAAGGGTAGTTGGATGTTAAGTCTTCCTGTATGACAGGAATTATTTTTTTATAACTTTTACTTAAAAACACTTTTATGTAAAGAGACAAAGTTGACTGATTAAAAATTTCAAAGCACCTTGTAGGAAATAATTTTCTTTTATGTCCTGTCTTGGCAAACATTTTGATCCTTCCATTCCCAATTTAACCTTTTCTATTTTCTTTAAGCACTTCAATACCTCCTGTAAGGAACAAATATTGGAGCGTAAACCTGAGCTTAACCTTAAAAAATTTACGAAATAGCACGCTGTTAAACCGTTATAGTATTTACTCAAATCATGTATCCTGAGTTAATGTGCTATGACGGACGTTGTAAGAAACGTATGTTAAATGTGCTAACGTATTCAGTTATCTAGTAAAAGTGTGATGAATGATTATAAAATAATTTATTGTTTTATTGCCAGATATACATAAAACGACAGAGCTGCTATTTTATCTGTTTAAAAGTGCCTGGGTAGAAATAACTGTTTTATCCGTTCTTTCTTGTTCTAACTCATTCCTTCCATTATATGCAACTTACATTTAATAAATAGACCAAGCTAGGTAACGAAAAAGCAAATCGACTCGATGTTTAGCAGGTCCCAGACGATGAGGATATTCATACGTTATTTCCTGCAAAATGTATTATTGAGAGATTTCTCTGTGTGGTCTACGAGGTGATGGACCTGTAATTTGGTCGTTACCGATCATATTGGTCTGCCTATCGTTGGTCTGTCCGATGCGTTTTGGCTTTACGCCATCTTAAGGGTTGGGTAATAAACCTAAGCACATCTGAGGGCCCAAAACAGCAAAGGGTAGACAAACTAAACTGATTGGATACGACCCAATTACCAAATGTGTTGCTAAATAAGCTCATATGTTCAAAAAAGAAGTGTATTTTGTGAATTAATGCTTGTAAGATTATTAACTATTGATTTTTTTAGAGTACAAATGTACGTAAAATCGTAGAGTTACTAGATTATTTGTTTAAAGTCTCGTGGTAGATTTTTTTTTTTGACATTTTCTTATTCTAATTCGTTTCTTCCTCACTGACCTATTTGTGAACACTTCCATTAAAAACTGAAAAAAAAGTTGTATGTAAACCTTGGCCTAATTTTGAAAAAGTTAATGAAGTACCAATGTAAACCGTTTAGAACACCTCAGGCAATTGTGTTACACTCGCAAACGTTTTTCTTGTTAAATGACCTATCGTGATATTAAGATACGAACGTAAGTGCACGTATGCTAAATGTGCTATTCAGGAAAGTTGTGAAATCTTTCGTGAATTAACTCATAATCAATTTTTGTAATGTTTCAAGATTATCCCATTAAAACGGCTTTTGTAGAAATGCTTTTTTTCTCTCATTCAAACTTATTTCTTCTATTCTCATTTTTTTGTGAACTCTTCCATTACAAGGAACAAAGTGTGGCAAGTCAAGTAGGCCAGAAAGTGTAGGATAAAGCAAACCGGTACAACGGTTACCAGTCTCCAGATGATTAGGTTATTCATGCATGTCCTATCCTGTAAAATGTGTTATTGTGTTATTTTACATAGTACACATAGAAGTGAAAAATATATTGATACGTTCAGAAAAATTATTCATAGCCTAGTGGAACCTCCTGCAATTTCATTTGTTTAATGAGATAACTTATTTAGGAAGATTATTAATATATTTTCGAATACAACTTTTGTGATTGACTTCTTGATGACTTCTTAGTGATTAGTAACGATTAATTAATTTTTTTTAAATTCGAAAGATACTAGCTCTGCTAGCTTATGTATTTAAAACTCTCTTGGAAGACGTTTAATGAAATTTCATTTTATCATGTTCTTCTTATGAGACAATTCAATTTTCCCTTAAAAGCGTTTACGACAGAAGCAGATATTCGTAGGCCACAGCTCGCTCAGATGTGTAATTAGTTCCGAAATAGCACTCTTGCACACTGAATTTCTCGGTTTTAACACACTTATCTCTAATAGCACCTATAATTTTTTAATTTTCTTAAGCAATGCACAGTAGATCATTATTTAAAGCGCTAGATATAAAAATATAGACATGCTATCAAAGAGGCTGTTCAAATGAACTAATTGCATCTACCAGGAATACGACGTGCGTGAAACTGACACACGTTTTTTTCCAGAACAATTATGTAAAAATGAACTTGACCCTCAGATTTGATAGTTTTTTTCGTAGTGAGAACTTTTATAATTTACAGAGCACGGTGAATAAAGGCGGCGCTACGAATAAACGAGGAAACCTGTTATTACGAAAAGCCATGTTTATTCAACTTTCCAAACTTTCTTGCTTATATAACAAACGCCCGTTTAGATGTTTTAAGCTTTTTGACTGTTCGGTCATCGAAACGATGACAAACAATTGTAAAATTATTTTGTTTGATAATAAAGAAAAAAGGGTAAACCGCGTATTTTTATTAGAATAAATGGGTTGTTTTTTGCTTTTTAGTGACCGGTTGTTTAATAATTGTTGGATTCATGAAGTGCGGTCAAGAATGAGGTAGTTGAGAAAAACACCTTTATCATTTTTTTGACGACGTTTCGACCTTTATTCGGGCCATCTTCAGGGCATAAAGTGTGGTGCTATTCTTGTGGTGACATATTGGTGTATCAACATATTAACACCAATATATCACCACAGGAACCACACTTTATGCCCTGAAGATGACCTGAATATGGTCGAAACGTCGGCCAAAAATGATAAAGGTGGTTTTCTAAACTACCTCATTCTTGACCGCTCCTCACGAATCCAACAATTATTAGAATAAATTCTTTCCATATCACATTAGTGTCAAACATATATTTAATACTTTTTCTGTTTATAGTTTACATGTTTATGGATTGCTATTACCAGTGCAGAAAAACGGAACAAAATTTAATTGCAACGTCAATATTTTTCATTCGGCAATCAGAATACAATATCTTGCTGCTTTTACGTAAATATGTAATAATAGTTTTTCTATGCGTGGCTGTTGAATAATCATTACTAAAGGGAGATGCATCAAAGCTTCTTAATATTCACTACGACATTAATTTTTCAATATTCACTACGACATTAATTTTTCAATTTTCAGATGCATTCTCATTAAGTATTTTATGCACAACAGAACAAACTGTTATTATTATTTGTTCTCTACAACCGGTATTCAGTATTAAAATCCAATCACCAGGACTGACGGACTTGAACTACGAAGGGCCAACAGCCAAATAAGAAACGTTTCAGTCTTATGTCACATCATAATGAATCTACTTTCTACTTCTCTAATCAAACACTGTAAAAGATCTCGATATTCAGCTTGTAAAAGGTCTCATCCAAACCCGGAACAAGGGTTTCACAAGCTTACCATCCACCCTAATTTTTTGACTATCTCCCTTTCCTTAACAAGGAAGACCTGAAAACCTCGACCAAGGCCACGGCAGTACCTAAAAATCTATTGTAAATATAGTGGATTAAAAATATCGAGTTTTTAACATATAGTTTAGAGAAAAACGAAAAACTCTCGCTTCATACTTTTATATTTTCTCCGCTTCACGCAAAAATATAGAATTATAGTAATGTAACCAACCCGTCCCTAACTCTAACCTTACCGAAGCAAATCTAATGCCACCTAACTTAACCAAACCTAACTCTACCTAAATTAACTCGACCACAATTATAACTAAACTTAATTATACTTAACCTAACCCGTTTCTAAACCCTAACATAGCCGATTTCTAAATTTAATCTAACATAATTCAAACCTTGGGCACTCCGTGTTAACCTGACGCCGAAGGTCGTGGGTTCGAATCCCGCTCGTGACACTGACTTTTTATCTCAACTAAAAACCTTAATTAATTGAAAGATATTAATTGGTCAAGCGGACCACGAAAATAATGAATTTAATTAAATTCCATATAAAGTTCGCGAATTCGAAAACAACTTATCAATTTGCAGATAATTTCATTATGTTTGGAGATTCTTCTTCTTTTGGTAATGGGGAAATGTTACTATAAAAACAATACGATACGATTAAGGTGCGTTATGACTGATACAGCCTTGACTAATACGGACATCCTTGGTTTTAGAGCGTGACAAGTCGAAGGTTCGTTGAGAACGTACTTCTCGGCCAACTTCAAAAAGAAGCTTTCGCCGTTTCCTGTTTATTTTTCTTCTTTTGAAATATTTGTAAAATTTATTAAAATGAAATACTCACACGTAGACAAAAGGTCCCAGCTCGTCCAGGATGGGCTTATCACCGTTCGTCAAAAAATCCTGGGAGTTGGTCACGTTGTAGACGTAGACCCGGAGAACCGGCTCCACCGGCGGCTTCTTCCACATCTTGAACACATGGCCCCCTTCCTTCAAAGTGATTTGCTGAAAAAATAAACAAACGATAAATAAATTAATGCATATTTCTATTGAAGGGGAAAGGGTGTAAATCATGTTAGAGTCAACGGTTATTTTTTTCTGATCAATAAGCACAAAGAAGTCTTAGTTTCATTAGTACTGGGATAATAGAGATAACGAAAAGATTACAGTAAAGCATACAGTTATTTCATCATGGGAAATTTACCATTTTATTATTGTAAAAATCAAATATTGTACGGTTTGTTTACACTATTTGCCAGAATGTTAAACATTATTAACGTTTACAGGGTTTCATTTCATTCTCATCAAATCCTTATCTCTTAATTAATATATATCAGTAACTTTCTTTTCGAAAGTTTAAATTTGACTGTAGGAATAGTTACGTCCAAACTACATATGCCAATTTAAACCGCACATGTTCATGTAAAGTTCGCATAATCCTTAAACCATTGTGTTCGAATCTTAGTGAAATCGATTCACGGACTTACATAACGAAATTGTGAGCGTATCCATCCACAAAAATACAATACCTTGACGACAGCCATTTGTAAAGAGTTTAATTTTTACATTTGAAATATTCAGACGAAGGTCGTTCCCACAGTTTGAAAGGCTTAAGCACAAAATCACATGCTCGTTATGCTAAGCTTCGAAAAACCATTGGATTTTCGTAACGGTGAACAATAAAGAATATTATTATTTAAACTTTAATTCTTTAACATTGAACGTTTGATAAGTTGAATGAGTAATACAGTCGTTATCGATGAGCATTAAAGCAAAACAGTGATATCGGGGGATTAATAACTGGAAAAGAAAAGGTCAGAGTGAATAATATAATAACAATGGTATATAATCCAATTACAAAAATAATCGCAAAGTTGCAAAGAAAAATTGTAATAATAAAATTCATTGTAATTTAAAAAAATATTCAACTTTTAGAAAATATAAGATGAACTGTCAACCCAAAGACAACTGTCAGCCAACCATTTAAAAAGGAAACGTAACTATGATACGACATTTGAAAAATGGCAAAAAGGAGGGAAAATTCAAAAGGTGAGGTTGAGATGGTGTGACGATGGCTCAAGTGGTAGAGCAGCGGCGTATCTAGCCGAAGATCGTGGGTTCGAATCCCGCTCGTGACACTGAATTTTTTATCTCAACTAAAAACCTTAATTAATTGAAAGATGTTAATTGGTCACGCGGACCACGAAACTAATGAATTTATTAAGTTTAAATAAAGTATAACTTCACTAAAGCTCTCCGTCGCCATTTCATTTGTCGCCGAGAATCCAATCCGATTACACGACATTTGACAAATGGCAAAAAGGAGGGAAAATTCAAAAGGTGGGGCTGAGATGGGAAGTTGGTGTCAGAGTGGATCGAGGTCACGATAGCTCAAGTGGTAGAGCAGCAGCGTATCTAGCCGAAGATCGTGGGTTCGAATCCCGCTCGTGACACTGACTTTTTTATGTCAACTAAAAATCTTAATTAATTTAAAGATATTAATTGGTCAAGCAAATCGACTAACGAATTCTAATAAATGTAATAAGAAAAATGAAAAATGGCAAAAAGGAGGGAAAATTCAAAAGGAGGGGTCGAGATGGAAAGTTAGTGTCCGAATGGATCAACGTCACGATAGCTCAAGTGGAAGAGCAGCTGCGTATTTAGCCGAAGGTCGTGGGTTCGAATCCCGCTTGTGACACGGACTTTTTTAATCTCAACTAAAAATCTTAATTAATTGAAAGATGTTAATTGATCATGCGGACCACGAAACTAGTGAATGAAAGTAACTATGATATTTAATTATTAAAATTAATATTAAGTTGTCTTAACCAAACAGTTGTAAAAGGCTACTTCGTTACAACTTCCCTTTTTATTAAGTCAGTTATATTATTTATATATGTTTATTTGACGTTGAATACACGTAATAGAAAAATATTCAAAATTTTATTATTATAAAATTTGAGTCAGATTTACTCAAGTCAACAATTTAGATACATATTTGCAAAGTAGCACCCTCTTTCTCCTTATCCGTCTCTCTTTCTATCATTTCTCACACACTCAATCTATCCCTATTTTATTCCGCTTCTATATCTCGTCTTTTCTCTCCTTTTCATTTTCACTATCTTTGCCTATGTCTCTCTCTCTCTTTCCTCATTTCTTTCATGATTCCTTCTTACTGAACACACTCTCATATTCTATCTATCTCTACATCTCTCTCATTCAATATTTCTCCTTCACCTTTCTCTCTCGCATACTCTTTTTAACCTTCAGTTTTTTTATATCTATCATCCTACACTCTTCCCTCTCACATTCTCTCTCTCTCTCTCTCTCCTTTCTTCTCTCTCATACACATTTAACCTTCAGCCTTCTCTTTTTTGCTTTCTCCATCACCCTTCTTCACGCACTCATTTTATCTCTCTCAGATACACATTTCTCCCTTTACATTTTTTCTGAATATGCTTACACACTCGCTTTACCCGTGATCTTCCTCTTTCTCTGTCTCTTTTCTCTAACCAAAACTTTCTTCTTCTTACTATCTATCTCTCTCGCTTTCACGAAATATTTCTCCCTTTCTTTCTTTTTATCACTCTTTCTCCCTCTTCACACACTCATTTTATGCCTCTCTCATTCTGTCACGATCCCTCAGATACTCATTTCTCTCCTTTTGATTTTTTCTGAATATGCTTACACCCTCTCTTTATCCATTATATTCCTCTTTCTCTATCTCTCTCCTCTATCCATCATTTTCTTACTATCTTTCTCTCTCGGTCTCACTAAATATTTCTCCTACTTTTCTTTCCTTATCTCTCTTTCTCCCTCACTCTTCTTCTCGCACAAACTCATTCCTTCCCTCTTTCATTCTCTTTCTCTCTCTCTCTCCCTCTCCCTCTCCCTCTCACTCTCACTGATTCACTCACATCCTCTCTCCCTTTTGAGTGTTGAAATTCAGCCGATTACATGAGTAACGATTACACGAAGAAATAGTTTGAAACGAGAGTACAAGGTTCCGCCGAAACCGGTCCAAGTTCAACGTACTACCCCGAGATCTCCTGCCGCACAACTTTCTAAAATGACGTTCTTGCAGGAAGCAGAACTTCCGACCTTACTTATACCTTGAAAATGAGCCCGTGGGTTAAGAGGAATTGTGAACTAACCGGATGTTTTATTCATGCTTCCTGGTTGACCGATTTCACACTTAATTCATGAAAGGATTTTTCATTTTATGTAGGGTTTTTTGTCGGTAAGATCGAGCAAGTCTAGGTCAGTCGACTTCAATACTAGTTTCTTTTTAAACGTGCAAACAATAAAAAACGTGGTGTTTTATGATGCCTTTTAAACTAAAACATGCTAAAAATTTTGGGGAAGAGAAAACACACTATATATGTCCCATATGAAACATTTTTTGAAAGTGTGAAAACAGCATTGGAAACGTATCTCCTGGCTAAGGTATTCTTCTTTTTCAACACAGTTTTCCGAAATTCCGAAGAGGTTTTTCTACAACTGAGACCTGAAATGATGTCAAAAGAACTGCTTTTTCTTTTCCACACAATGGATTATAAAAGCTGCGTTAGCGTCGAGGTGAGCTTGGATCCTTTTAAACTCAGTAGGGTAGAATTATCTCTATAACAACAAATATAAAAATCACGTCAAGCTATAATGGAGGAACTTAAAAAGTGGGAGAAGTTACTTTTTCAACTTCCAAAGTACATAAGTGCGTTCTATTTTAATAGAAACTTGGAAATATAGTAAAAAAAGAGTAAAAAATAATTAACACAGAAGGAAGGATGCTAACACAACAAAGGTACTTCTGTACAAAAATAGTACTTTTTAAGTATAACAATTAAATGTTTTAAATATTTTTCATGGCATAAAAAATGACCTCACTATCATATTGATGGGTTAGCTAGGTTAATTACATTATTTGTGGGGTCCTGATTTAGAAAATAAAATCATTTGGAAATAAAATCATCATATAGATAACATAAATATATAACACAGATAACATACAAAAATTACATCATTTTTTTAAACTTGGTACTTATTTGGAAATTTTGATTAAAAAATATAGTTATTCAGATATCGTGAGGTGCGGTCTGGTGTGGTGTAGGTTTCAGAAAAACATTTTCTTTATCGTGCCAACGTTTCGATCTTTTATTCAGGGCTCAATAAAAGATCGAAACGTTGGCACGATAAAGAAAATGTTTTTTCTAAAACCTACATCACACCAGACCGCATCTCACGATATCTGAATAACTATGATTAACGGTCACTAATCCCTACACATTAAAAAATATTATCCATTATTTTATACGTTCTCTTCAATCTTAATTATTGTGCAAAAGAAGATAAAACTTCCCTTCTTAATCACAGAAAAAGAGAAGGTCAAGTTCTGCCGAACGAGAAATTTATCGAAATAAAGCAAACTTTATTATGGTTTCAAGTTAAGGAAAAAGCATTAATGTATTTTGAACAAATACAGAACTCTAAACATTGTTAAAGGAATAGTAAATAGAGTATTGAAAAATATTTAATTATAAAAAATAAATCTACATACTAATAGGGAATGACCACCTGATTGTGTATACATGTTATACATTTGGTGCTTATTTGGGAATTTGATTTAAAAAAAAATATCGGCTCTAATAATCGTTAATTTAATTATTCCATTAACATGTATAAATTTTGTTTGGATAAGTTTTCTACAACAAAAAAACTACTAAAACATCAAAAAGTCTATTTACACGGACACAGACAGGTTTACATCAAAGTTAAATTTCACCAATTAAAGTGTTGAAAATCCTTCGCCACCTTTGGTTTTGTCATCGCTGCTGTCATTGGGTTCTAAAATACTTGGATTTCCTCACTGTCAACCTTCACGGGTAAGTTGGGACGTTTTAATTTCGTCAATTTTAAATTCGGAAATATCTCACGTACGATATAATTAACGGTTTAATTGAAACAGTTTTCTTGTCGATTCACCAATACCAAGAAGTAATCCAAACCTT